GTTGAATCTTTATGTAATTAGCACCTGTTGCCCAGATTCAGCCGCTGTTGAAACTGATCAGTTTCAGCAGCGGCTGAATCTGGACGCCTGTTCCGACTTAGATACAGATTCAACTTAAGAACAAACCTACAGTCCCTATCTTGTACGTAACCCGGGGACTGCCTGTATTAAAATATAGTTTTCAAAACAGCTGAAAATAGATTTTCCCCACCCCAAAGTGAAGTTGGCAGTAAGAGCATCAAGTTATTTTTTCACCTCTTAGAAACAAGGTAATGTGCATATTTTAAGGGGAGTTTTGGAAAACATCTGGCTTGGATTGAGAAACTGTGTATGATCCAGCCAAGAGAGCATTTTTTGACAAAAGTAATACATTACAAAATAGGGGTTTGCAACTGAAATATTTCAGCAATGTGTAAAACCATGTCATTACTAGTTTCAGATAATTACTTTATAAAGCAGCGTCTCTATTTTATCACCTCCTTCAGTCATTTGTATATACCATCTACTTTTTTTTTTTAAAGGAAAAACAACTAATCTTTGGAGTAATCTAAAATCCAATGTAAGTAAAACATACTGCACACAGCACAGAACAATCATAAGGTTCATTATAGAGTTTCAATATGAAGGTAGGTATCTTCCCACTAGGGAATTTTCAGAAGAAACCACTGCTCAATATAAAAATTACTAGTCTAATTAATGAGCTCGTTTTTCAAAAGTAGTTTCAAAGGTGCAAACTGTCAGGAATATGAAATACTCTTATCCTATATAAGCTAAAGGCAAGTAGGCTACATGAATTCCTTGATATGAGTGATTAAATTGCACAGATATTGTGCTGTTCAAGCCTATAATTGGGGCATAGGATTAAATCAACAATGCAGAATTCTGCAACAATAATGAATACACTGGAGTGGAGGCAAGGTAGAAAACTTCTTACATATGATTTGGCTTTACAGGGAAACAATTGTTGTTCAGAGTCTTCATATTTATAAAAATAAAGTGATGGCATTGAAGAATTAAGCTTCTACCTTGGAGGATTTATAGAGGCTGAGAATATTTTAAATGACATTCACAGAAATATGTAGGTCTCTGCTTCTTATAAAATTGTGTCGTTTGAGACATAAGCTCTCTTCTGAAATGGCCTGGGTGATCTTACTGCTGCTTCAGCTAAAAATAGTCTTCAGGATGTATTTACTGGGAACTGCGGGTAAGTTTTTATGGTTAACCCTTATAGCATGAATTATTAAGTCCCACATACAAATAAATTATAGAATATTTTAATACTGTAAGAAAAAAATCAGTACTGTAATACTGTTACATTTCTTGGAAAAAGCACACAGACCTACCACACATACATTTTCTCACTATATAAACAAAACCCCCCAATGTTATTAATTTAAACCATTTTGAAATAAACACATGCAATAAGTTTCAGCCAAATGTGATCTGACACAGTTGATATTTAGGCTATTATAACCAAAAACGCTGACAGATTCTCAACTCTAGTATTGCTGGTGAGACACTATGATGTCTAATCACCTTATATTTCATACATAATCCAAGTCTGTTGATCAGAACAATGAAGGTTTTTGTTTTCCCCCATGTTATGTCAAAGAGGCATATAAAAATACATACGTTTAATTATTAAGAAGAGATTTTAACTTCTACTTCAACATCTGATGTTAGAGATATTGTGTATAAACTACAGAAGACTAAGAAAATGACCTTATATACAACAAAACAAAAAAACCAAGGCAATCTTCAGATCAGGAGAATAAATGTTAATTCCACTTAAAGAATGAAAAGCTGTCTGGAATCTTCCTATCTTCGTTACTATTTTAAGTAATTGTACCTTCTACATGTCATATTTTACTTTCATTTCTATTAGAATTCGATGGAACATTCCTTCTGAAACCTCAATATTGTCAGATCTCAAGCCAAATGTGAAAAAGCTGCATTTACAAGAAGGTTCTCCTCTAAATGTGCATGCACATGTACACAAAGATAGTATATTTTTGCTTCCCTATATTCTTCCCCATACACTGGAGGAGTTTTATTGTACTGAAGAGTATTTAGATCTGTGCAATATGAAGCTCTGAATAATAGAAAATTAATGTTTCTGTTTACAGAACTGTACTTCAACTTCTAGGTGTATCCTCACAATCCTCATGTAAACCAATGCATAGTTATGGTCTGGTACATACAGTTTGTGGTAAAGATATTGTTGAACATCTGTGACAGGAACTGTTGATTGAACATTAAGTTTAATCTAGAAACAGTTTTATTTTCACTGATCAAGCAATTAAACTTACCTTGAGTAGATTTAAATTTGCTTTGGGGTTTACTGAGTGGTTTGCCTGGGGTGCTACTAGGGGGAGGATTGAACAACTTCTCTTCCATTTTTGCCTCCTTTACATATTGGCATGACTTGCCCAACAACACAATGCTGTTAAGGACTTTTAGTGAAATTAACCTGAAAAATAAAAGGGTACATTTACACATTCTGCTGTTCGGAAGGGATTTAATTTGTTAGCTAATTCTTCCAACTATAAGGCTCTTTCTTATGGCCTATAGACAGACCAAAACAAACAAACAAAGAACAAAAGGAGCACACTAATTTGGTTTCAAGCTTGAAATTTGAATTAAAGAGTTTCATGGGGTAAAAAATTCAAGTGTTTCTATAAAGCATTTGGATCCTAATAATATTTTAGTTAATATTAGTGTTTACTTAATGGAGCAGCTATAGGAATTTCAGTAAATTTTCAAAACATTAAGTACTTAAACATTTAATCTGAAGAGATTACCAAAAATAACCACACGTTTGTGATAGTTTTGAAGCATCTCTAATAACACCACACACTAGGATGAGCTCTGAAACTTGAAGTTCAAAGACGATACCTAATTTCCATAAAATGGACAAATTTCAGTAGCTGTCAGCTTTAACACTGAGGTGCATGCTCCACGAAGTAAGTCCGAGCATGCAATATACTATTTTTGCATGAATAGCAGGCTGGGAGTAACACCACTTAGTAGATAGTGGAGACCTAGATAATTTTCCTACCTCTGCCATTGATTTGCTATGTAAATTTTGAAAAGTCACTTCAGTTTTCCCACCTGTAAAATGGGAAAGAGGCTTATCTACCTTTGAAAAGAGAGTTACTACTACTATCGACAGTATATTGCATGCTAGGACTTGTAATATTTTTAGGATATGCCTCCATATTGAAGATGATGGCAGGCTAATCTGATGGTTCTTGACTTAGAATTTGGGTCTCTGAACTTATTACTTACTCAAGGAAGTGTAAGAATATCCTTTATTGTGTAAATCTTATTATCACAGTGTTTATTAATCTAAATTTATAAAATTTGCAGGAAAAAGTGAATTTAAGTTAGACCTACTTGAAGGATTTTAACTTGTACATTGTAAAGATATCTAAGTATACTTCAATAGCAACTCAACTATCACAATGCATCAACACAAATTATGTTAAAAAGAAAAATGTAGCATACAACATTTCTCTCAAATGAATTTTTATTTAATACATTTTCCTATTAAAAGTCAGAGGTATGGGAGGACAAGCAGAGCAGACAATCCTCAATATTTAAACAGGAACTTTTCTTTTTATAATTCAAGCAACTACAAACTGAACAAAGTTAAATTGCCCCAGATCTGTAATTGTGGTGTACAAGGTCCCTTCTATTAGGGTAAGAATATTTTTTCTTTCTACAGAAATATGTCCCTTGCTTTCTTTCCCTGCATATCCTTTCCAAAAAAGGGCTTTCAGGATTTTTTTTAAAGATATTTTCACACACTTTTGAAAGATGAGGGGCGTAGGGCCTAATCCAATTTAATGAGAGCTGAATCAGGATGTTGGTGGATCACAACCCACCCACGGCATGTACCAATATCAGATTTTCATCATGGATTACACAGGCGCTTCCAAGTTTTTTCCTGTCACAGGACTTTGAGTTTCTTACTATTGGGAGGGCAGAGGTGGGTCAGATTAGTTGACTATGAACAGCTCAAAATTATGAACAATTAAATCAAAATGGAAGTGGCAAATATTGGGCATGACTTAATATTTTTTATTACTTTTAATAATGTAACTTAAACATTGTTGCAATCAAAACAATTTCCTCCTTATTTCAATCTAAATCCTTTGTGATAAAATCTTAAAGCATTATCTGGGCAGTGTTTCTCATATGTCTGTATAATACTTAAATTCTGTCTCTCACATTGTAGATAATTCCACTTACGTAGCTTATAATTACAGACACTGGAAGCAGTGTGCAGAATTTGGAATTACTCAGAGGATTTAGAAGATGTACTAATTCTAAACCTGAGATCACAAAAGAATAAGGTCCATTCTCACTTTGAAATTCATATAGTACGACAAATCTAATCTAATACATTAAATCTAAAGACGAAACAGCTCACATCTATCTATATTCATGTATACATAACATCAAAATAGGCTCTATCTCCTACATGTTGAAGGTCAGTATCACATTTGGAGCAGAATTGGTGAGTCTGTGTCAGGTATTTTATTGATGGACTTTGTTTATTTACAAAATATGTAGTTCCTGTTTCCTTGAATAGGGATGGTAACAAACAACACAGTCAACTCCCTTCTGGACCCAGGATTCTTACACTTTGTCATTCTTTAAGTCGAGACTCAAGTCTTACTGCACAAAACAGAGTACAATTAAGGCTGGTAATTATATCCCATCCATAGAACTATGTATGAGGGTATGTATGTGCGGTGGTTAATTTTAGTAGCTCAGTACTGTAAATGAATTCTACAGTCACAATAAACACAGCATATTGCCTTATCCCCCAAACAAGACTCTGCTTGTTTTATATCTCCAAGTGTAATAAATTCTCCCAGGAATATAAACAAGTGTAAAAATGTTAAAGCTGCTTTGCATTGCCAGAGTGGTGTAAAGGAGCTTTATTGTAAAAGGACAGGATGGCCACATAAATGCTTATGGTACTTTAATGATTAGAAATTGTCTAAAATTTTGAACTGAAAAAAATTCCTATCAAAATGGCTATGTCTACACTGGCCCCTTCTTCGGAAGAGGCATGCTAATTTCTAACTTTGGAATAGGGAAATCCCCGCGGGATTTCAATATCCCCCGCGGGATTTAAATAAACATGGCCGCCGCTTTTTTTCGGCTTGGGGAAAAGCCGGAAAAGAGCGTCCAGACTGGCGTGATCCTCCGGAATAAAGCCCTTTTCCGGAAGATCTCTTATTCCTACTTATTCAAGCTGGAAAAAACGCGGCGGCCATGTTTATTTAAATCCCGCGGGGGATATTTAAATATTTAAACCATTTTTGTAAGTGAAGAAGGGGCCAAAAACCCCTGACTTATGCCCTCGGCCTGCATTTATGACGGTGCATGGTGCCTACTGTATATGAGGGTTCAAGTTACGATGCCCCCGACTTGCAATGCTTCCCCAGGAACCAATCGCATTGTAAGTCAGGGGCCTCCTGTAGTCTGTAACTTTTTTAAAAAACTACTAGTAGTCCTGTAGCACCTTAGAGACTAACAAAAAATATATATAGTATCATGAGCTTTCGTGGACAAAACCCACTTCCTCAGATGAGCATTCAATAATCATGCTGAGGGACAGAAAGTGCACCCTAGGAAGCCGTCCTGGCTCTCGAGGCAAACACAATAAATTGAGTAATAAGGGAAATACATTTTTTGTTTGTAAACCATCACTGACAGGTACAGCACCTAGAAAAGTTGGACACTCTTGGCCTGAAAGGCAAGAATTGACACTTTATATACTGAGAAACTGCTTAGGCAAAAATTGAAACTTGCTAAAATTAAAGTTTAGTCACTGGAAAGCATGTTTTGTTTGTAATTAAATCAATCTCTTTCGTGCTTGCCTGGTATCACTTAAATCATATGCTCAAACCAGTGAAGTGGGAGTCTTCAACTAAACCAACTAGCAGGGTCCTTAAGAGTTTGCTAGCCTGAGACATAGGTGAACAACAGCCACAGGGAAAAGCTGGGAGCTACTATCCTCGGTTTTTGCGCATTTCACCATTCATGGAGGTGCCAGGAACATATCTACAGCAAATAGCGAGGGTCTACTGTATAAGCATTAACCCTTGCATTCTTACCCACTCTTAAAAAAACAATCATTCTTTACACCCATCTTCTCTCCCTTTTAAAATCTAGTTTCATTTTGTTGACCATAATCATAACTTCACACTAAGACTACGTCTAGACAGCAAGCTTCATTCAGAAAAAGCTTTTCCAGAAGAGATCTTCCAAAAGAGAGCGTCCAGACTGCCAAAGTACATCGAAAAAATAATCTTTTTTGAAAGATAGCATTCACACTGAACGCACGCTATCTCGCATATAAGTTGTGATTACTATGGACCAAGTGGCTACCAGGGAACCTGGTGCTTTTTCCTCTTTCCTCTTCTTTCGAAAGAACTCCCCATTCCCCGTTCACATGCCTTTTTCCGAAAGAGCTCTTTTGGAAAATGGTAAACCTCTTTCTACGAGGAAGAAGCCTGTCAGAAAATCCCCTTTGTTCTTTAAATTTTTTTTCCCCAAAAGAATGCAATTGCTGTGTGGACATAAATGAAGTTTTTCTTCAGAAAAAAGGCCGCTTTTCCGAAAAAAAAAAACTTTGTCATGTAGACATAGCCCATCTGAACAGGAAGACTTTGAAACAGATGCAAATGTTTATCTGCAAACTGCTCAGTGATGGATGCTCAGAGTGCATGGCTATTATTTTTAATCGCCCGTGCTTCTGCCAAAGTATGTACTTTACTTCTGTAGGAATTCCGCAACTGTTTCATTTGGACCCATAGTACAATTGCAGAATTCCAACAGGCGTAATTCCATGACAAATCTGCATTCCATATAGGTAACCTCAGCCATTCTGACTATTCTGCAATGAATGTTATGTAAATTATGCACGTATTGGACTCCATGTAGAAGTGACTGTATTATGTTTGAACCATGAAAACATCAGCAGAGCAAATTATTTCTTACAATCATTTAGTTAAATAGTAAATGTGGTTTAATAATTGCTTCTTTTGTGTTCCACTTACCCACAATAGAAGAGCACAACACAGGCATAAGCCAAGACTCCTTGTACTTTTATTGAGCTTGTTACGACTCTGATGAGCTGTTTTAAAAATAAAAGTTCAATAGTTCAGGCATACAAATTAATAATGAATAGACTATTTAAAATAAATCCATTAGAGTAGGACAAGTTTGTGACAAAAATGAGAACATTTATACTAACAATTAACCTTGTAAGGTTTTGAATTCTGGATATTGCTAATGATTTAGGAATTGTCTAAATAAATATTACAAGAGTATCTATGCAGTAGAGCTGTAATGCCAGTAATAACTCTACAGTCTGTTGCTATAAAAACAACTTATATCAAATTTAGCATTATGACTTCACTGCAGAATCAAGAAAGAAATGAGGGTTTGAAGAGGATACTAATTATTGATACAAATATCTGAGGAAACTACCCAATGTGTATGTGGGGAAAGATACGGATAGAGTGAAGTATTTTAATGTTTCACTCTGCACTAAAGAAAACTGGAGACTAAGCTGATCTGTGGAGTCAGCAGGTTATACAACCTAGCTGATCTGTGGAGTCAGCAGGTTATACAACCTATCTATATACAAAGTTTGAACACCAAGAAATCACAAGTTTGTTTTCAGTGTAGTGCTTAAGGTCCCAGTTTAGGAAAACACTTAAACCTGTGTTAAGTCCATCCTAATTCAGAATAGGATTTAAAGCACATGCTGAACTTTAGACATGTATTAAGTACTATCCTGAATAGGGATTCATTCCATACTTGAAGTCTAAGTAGATAACTGTAGTTGTATGCATTGCACCAAAACCCCAACAATTTTACATCAATAATCCCTCTACCAGTAACATTATGAGACTTTGCTAGCAGAGTGACTGCTTCTGTCCAATGACAGAATGACTTAGAGCTTGTCTATGCACAAAAACAGACCCGAACAACTACTGCTGAATATGATATTCCAGAATAGCTCCCTTCATGGACATTAATTCAGAATAAAAATCACTATTTCAGAATAATATAGGTGCTCAGAAATCACAAAATGCAATAATTATTCCAAAATAAAGTCATTTTCATTCTGGAATTACATGCCCACCTAAGAGGCAAGAGGGTACAAAAGGAGCTATTCCAGAACAGTTTATACCACAATAGTTATTCTGGTCACTTTCTCTGTACAGACAAGCCTAAGCCACTCAACATACTAATGCAGGGAAGGGCATGAAAAGAAAATATTGAAGGTGTTTTTAAAAAAATGTCTTACCAAGAGCCTAAAAACCTACAATACTGTTAAGCCTCCTGGCAGCCAGTTGCTTTCGCTATTCTGACTGAACAATCAGGATTTACCTGTGCTTCTGCAGGTATGGGGGAATCACAGCTTCTGCTGGCTGCGGATCGCCGTTCCTGGACAACAGGTGCTGTGATCTCCTGTATCTGCAAAGGCGCAGGTAAATATAGCAGCAGTGGCCCACCAGGGCCTAACCCCAGTGAACGGATGCCATTTTATTACCCATCCCTGCTATAATCCTTAGTTCAATTCCTTTCCACAGAAGTGAGGGTGGAGGAGGGCAGGCTGTTCCAGCATGTATAAAAATAAAGAAACTAACTCTTTCTGGACCAAGGAGTCGAATGAATTCTGAAGTTGAGGGGCCCTCATGTAGAACAATCTTGTGGTTAAGACACTGAACTTGAACTTAAGAGGTTCAGGTGCTATTCCTAATTCTGCCACAGATTTCCTATGTGGCTTTAAGCTAGTCACTTAATATGTGCCACATTCTCAGATATAATAATGCAATGCTTCCCTACCTCACAAGATACAGTAATTACTCATTTAACATGTGCCTGCTTAACACCTTTCCTCAATAGCACAATTTTTTTTTTTAGGGAACATTTTTCAAATAACACGACTGTCCCTGAAATAACACGAAAATAATCAAGTGGCAAACTACTTCGCACGGGTGGTATAAGTTGGTGAAAACAATGGTAATATGCATGAGCGGATGAATACACGTGGCCACAGCGCTCTTCCACTCACTCATGTGTTTATCTTTGTGTTTTAACAAACCGTGGTGATTTGTGTTGCTAGATATCTTGTCACTAGGTATCTAACGTTTACGTTGATAACCCAGCACCAACAAAAAATTGACTTTGCCACCACCACCTGAAACCCAACCCCCACCTTTTCCATTATTTTTAATGGGAAAATTGACCCCCCCCATAGCACATTTTCGCTTAGCACGAACATTTTCAGAAACCCATGTATAGTGTTAAAAGAGGAATTATTGTATTAGGGTGATCATGTTCATAAACCAAACAGGTATCTCACACTCAGTTGTATGAAGAAAACTCCAGCAAATGTGTATATTGACCTCAAGTGTGGCAACAATAAACAGAGTTTCTGAAAGAATCAGGTTCTCAAACCATTTGTAGGATAAAACCCAACACCATGAATTCTAACAGGAAATTTAGCAATAGCTTTTATAAATCCTGGAGCATTTATGCTCCTGGAGTGAAGTTACATCCAATAATCATCAACTTGATTCTGCTTTAGCTTCAGTTTCTATGTGGCCTTAAAATAGAGCACCAAAAATAATACTGTCTCTTGGTGGCAAAGGAATGGGTCCTCATGTATTTCACGCTGAGTTTTCTTCAAAGATATGAAGCATTTTTCCATGGCCTTGAATTAATATTTCATCCGTAACCAGAATTCCTACTAACCAGTGAAAGATTTTTGGCCTGAAAAATATAAAATACATGACTTACTAAAACAGCCAATGGGAGAGGAATAAAACCCATTCTCCTGGAAACAGAATCACTGTAATCTGTGTATGCCTGGAAAAAAAGAATTAGAATTAGAGACATTTCTCCCCTATTTATGAACTACTGATATATGGACTAGAACAAGATTATTTTGACTTGGCACACATTCGAGGAACTAACACATATATAACATTGATAAAGAAGCCACAATTAAAACTGATAAACAACTGCTTTCACAGAAATCTACATGGATAGGCAATGAAGAGCTGTTTGTGTGTGAATACAATCAATACTAATATGACTGCTAAAATTAGCCAGAGTTCTAAATCAAGAGCAATTAGGAAATTATACCTCAAACTATGCCAAAGCATTTCAAAAGTGCACTACTGCCACTTCACTTAGATATTTTTGTTATCAATTTGGTTTTGATCTCTAAATATAACATGCAAAAATCCACACTGCAAAAGAAGAAGTGATTATCCAAAGCGGCAATTTAAATAGTTATTCCAAATTCTTCTGTAATTAGGCTCAAGAAAACACCTCCCTCTACTTCTTTTTAAGCAAAACAACTAAAAGCTCTGTTCTTATTGGCACTATAAAAGTAGTCTACTTTGCCTGAGAATTCTCATGTGGTGCTGAAAATTCTCTGATACTGAACAGTTATATCATATCATACTCATTTTCCTCAAACCACCAAATAATATGAAAATTCCATTATTATTCCAGGGACAAGAAGGGCTAATTTACATGACAAGGTTTGAAAGATCTTTGATTATGCTTATTCATTCATAAGCTTGATAAAGGAAGATTTGCTTCTCACTAATTGTAGTTCTCTGAATGTATTGCTTCTGCAGATCGATGTTGAAAGGAGTAACAAGCTTGGCACATGGGATTTGCAAATGCAATTCATATTGTGGTAGAAAAATTACCAATGAATGTTGTACAGATAACGTACTCTGGTGACCTACCATATTTGAAATTAAATGGGAAGGAAAAAGTAGATCTATTTTATGAAAGGCTGCAAGGAGTTCAAAATTAGCTCAGGAAAACACTTCAGTTGGTTTAGCCAGTTTACTTACAACATACCACATACTTACAGTGGCAATTAGTATAAATATAATAAGGTTTTTGTTATGACTATCAAAGAACTTGCACTAGCATAGTTTGCTTTTAAAAATCCAAGACAATTTACTGAAAGAAACAAACTGAACAGAAGTTCTGTGACTAAATAATGGTGCAATACTCATTTCGTATGTACACAATAGCAGATTATAATTTCAGTGGTATGGGAGAAAGTCTTCTAAATATGTTAGGATTGTCATTTGCTGTATTGAAAACAATGACAACAGTTAATAAAACAGTTATTTTCACTCTTACATTTTTCTGTCGACTGCTAACAAGGTCAAATGCCAGGCTGGCTCTGTACTCACTGTAGACCTGGGAAAAAAAATCCAGTACATTGGATATGTAATTAATTTACATGAAATCATAATTTACAGCAGAAACTGGATTTCACTGGAAAATATTTTCATCAGTAAAAAGGTTTTATAAGGCTTGTGGAAGAACTCATACACTCAATCTTACCCTTTTGTGGAAATATATTACTGTACAGTTAAGGACAACTATTGTATACACCTGAGCAAAAAGAAGCCAATTTTCTAAAATACACAACAGTGCATGATACAATTAGATTACTAAATTAAAATGCACACTTACAGTATATCATTAACTTTTGGATTTTAGATTAATATGCTATTTTCTGTGTTATGCCAATAGTCTACTTATATTTTGCGAAAATGATTAACACAGCTATTAAAACCTATGTGGGATAACTGCAAGAGGTTTTAGGAATGAATGTTCTGGCCAAATTCCATATATTGGCT